GCGGCAGCCAATTGGACCCAGCGATGTCCCCACAAATAGTCGTCCCTGCCTGCGGTCACCTCCGCCCCTGCCACCCCCCCACCCTGGTTATGCGTCAAGCTCTGCCACTGTCGAGCGCTCTGGGACGATATCCTGCTTGTGAGGGGCGCTGAGTAAATGCTTGTTGTTGTTGTTGTTGTCTACAGGCAACAGTGAAGGAACCATTTCGATGGCAGAGGGAGAGACCCTGCAGCTGATCGAGGAGGACAAGGGCGACGGGTGGACGCGGGTCAGACGGGGGGACGGAGAAGAAGGTTACATCCCCACGTCCTACGTGCAGATCTCTCTGGACAGGAAGTGAGGCGGGGTGGGCCGGGCGGGGCAAGGCGGGTGGGGTCTAATCGGAGGCGAGAGGTCAGTGGTGCGGAGAGTTGGATGGACTACGAAGTCCCGTTCCCCCCCCCCCCCCGGCCCCACTTCCACCCCCGGACGTCCCTCCCTCTGGTTTGGGGACGGGAGCGCTTTCACCACTTCCCTGGAGTCGAGTGAAGAACGGACGCAGAGGGAAGAGAGAGAGAGAGAGAGAGAGAGAGAGGAGAGCGAAGGAGAGAGAGAGAGAGAGGACCGTTTAGCTCCGAACTCCCCTGGGAACCAGTTTCAATCACAGGGTCTGTTCGCTTCTTAAGAAGCTCCACTTTGCTGCATAAAGACATCGGTAGAAACTGGACCCCAATCAACGGATGGCAATCGCACTGACTGACTGACTGACCGGTACTTGTACATAAGTGTAATGACAAAGGAGGGGGTGGGGGGTAAACACCACTGAACTGCCCATCAGTGTAACATAGACAAGTGGGATTCTTCTGAATTAGGGGATGAGCAATGCAAAGGTGGGGAGGGAGGGGGAGTGGGGGAGTGAGTGTGTGAGTGTGTGTGGAGAGAGAGTGACAGCTTGGCTTTTCGTTGGAGGGCACGAGCCATCTGTAGTGGCATTGCCCGACTGGGCTCCCAATTTGCCCGGTGGGGGTGGGCCCTTAGCCTGGCTGACCCCCTTGGGCGGTGCGAGATGGGGAGTGGGGGGGAAATATCCCCTTCCCCCCTCCCCCCCTCTGTCAATAAGCCCTTCACTCACCCAGTGGGTGTCAGCCCTTTAGCTGAAGGATAAGGCCTTGGATATCGAGAGTTATTTGAGAATGTACAGAGAGGCCAGAGTAAGATAGCGTGTGCGTGTGTGTCATGTGTGCACATATGTGCCACGAGCCTTCAAGAGAAAATGCGTGTTCTTGAACACCAAAAGGCAAAATAACTGCAGACGCTTGAAATCTGAAATACAAACAGACGTCGCTGGGAACACCGACGCAGCGGGTCAGGCAGCGTCCACGGCCGGAAAGTGAGCTCACGGTTTCAGGTTGATCCTTCTGTCAGAAGCCCAGCGACTCCTGTTTTTATTTCTGTTCTTAAAACGCTGGTTAGCTGTCAGGACAGATGATTTTATTCGGGGAGGGGGGTGGGGGGGTTGGGGCCGGGGGGAAACGGGTTGAAAAAAAATGCCACGTTTCGTTACTCGTTCCTCTCGTGAGCAATCCCGGAAGGCTGGCGGTACTTCACGCGCGGAATTGACTTTTTTTTTATGATATATATGAATATACGAAATCTATATATAAAGAAAAAGTCTCGAGAAGAGTTTTTTTTTTTAGAGAGAGAGTTCTTAAGTTTCGAGAGCCGTCGAGACTTTTAAAGTCTTGAGGTTTTAAGTTACAGGTGGGTGAGCTGGTCAGGGAGGGAGAGAACCGGGGTGTGGTCAACACTGAAGGTGAGCAGATGAATGGAAGTTCACGTCTTGGTATCAATCTGTGGTTCGGAGGGAGAGGGGAATCATCTTCATTCACAATAGCACCTATTGGGTGAGTTAAACCTAATCAGTAAATTAAACTCTCTGTTAAACGCCAGTCAACACTGCAGGACAACAGACTCTGAGCTGCTGTTAAGGATGGGGCGGGAGAGAAAGGTGACCTGATTGTTCTAAGTGTTTTTTTTTTCTTTAAATTCCTGTAATAAAACTATTCTAATTCCAATCCGCGGGATGAGAATCCTACCCTCTCCTTCTTGGTTTGCAGCCGCTTGGCGCGTAGTTTTTGAAACGAGGACAAGTTGCACCGACACAGCGCCGGCCGGCAAACCAGAGTAACGATGGTGATGATAGTAATAATAATCCTGGCTTTTGATGCAGCGCCTTATCACGTCGTAGAGGCATTTCAAAGCGCTTCACGGGACACACTGTAAAGCGGAGTGACTGTATTGTGTGGGTGACACGCGGCAGCCGATTGCACACAACAACAACAACAAGTTGGATTTATATAGCGCCCTCCACGCCGGACGGCGTCTCAGCTTACATTTCGTTTACAGCTGTGTCCCACAAACGGTCGTGGATTGAGTGGCCAAATGAGGGATTACCCCCGGAAAGCCATCCTCCAGTCGACTAACACGCAGGTTATACTTAGCGCCAGGTAAACAGAGGCGCGCGCGTGGAGTAAGGAAACTCGCCCAAGGTTTCGCCCTGACCCGCCCGGGAATCGGACCCGGGTCCTCGCTTGCGAGGCTCGTGTCCAACCACTATATGGGACTCCAATCTGACTATTCGGTGCTTGTTACCCTGTGATCAGCTGTGAAGATCAAAGGTCTTCTTTACACAGCGGCCCTTGGCTGCTGTTATGAGTGACTAAATTGCACTCCTTACCTCCTCCGTGTTGGGCAACACTATTCAATTGTTTGCCTTGTTGTGGAAACAGCATCAGTTCNAAAAAAACATGTGCGTGGGAAGCTTAATTAAACTCAATCGCTCTATTCGCTTTACTTAAAATTTTCAAACTGTTTTTTGTTTGACACACGTACCTACCTCTTCAAACCCGCTTTTGATTTTCGCGTATTAAATTAGCATTTGTTTTTAACGCTGCCGTGCCCGGGAAACATTTTAATATTAATAATAATAATAATAATGATGAATCCTTGAAACAAACAACGGAGAAGTGAGTGAATTTTTAGGGGACTGTTGACTGGGAGACTGACGCAGGAGTGGGTAGAGGGAGGAAGAGAGAGAGAGAGAATGTCCCTTCTCTTATCATTATTAATAATAATAATCCTTGCATTTTGATGTAGCACCTAATCACGTCTCCCAAGACGTCTCAAAGCGCTTCACAGAATATACTGTAAAGGGAATTGGGTGAAACACGGCAACCGACTGCGTACAGCAGTGTCCCACAAACGGCCGTGGATTGAGTGAGTGACCAAATTATTATTTCTTCTGAAGGAGAGTGGAAGAGGGGAGGGGCGGAAGAGGAGCGAAGGAAGGAAGAAATAAATCAAGAAAGTACATTTGAAAGCGAGACGGTTTGGCGATCTGGTCACTACGGTACTGTGTGTTTGCTGATGCGCGCACACGCGTGCGCACACGCGCACAGTCACTGCACTTGACAGCTGTGCTGCGCGAAAGCCTTTTGAGCCCCTTCTGACACACGTTCTGCTTCTCCTTTAAGGTTCAAGAGTCTAAGTTGGGAAACCGTTTCATTTGAGTCTTAACAAAACACGCAGTCAGTTCACTTTACGCTGCATTCTGGGGAAGCGCTTTGAAACGTCGCAAAGACGTGATAAGGCGCTACGTCAAATGCAAGGATTGTTATTGCTATTATTGCTAAATGTGTGCAAATATAAAATAATTCCAGATATTCCACCCCCCCCCAGCACGCTTGCACAACATATCTGTTCCCCCGCAGGGAGCAATGACATCTTGCTGCCTTGGCTGATTAGCCGGTGGAAAGGTTCCCACTTAAACCTGGTCCCAGCGGGTGGGGAGGGGAATGAGGCATTGGCTGGATTCAACAGTGGGATCCTCAGCCGGTATGTGTTGTGCAATTGTCCGGGGAAGGCTTTGTTGCTGGAAGCAGTGGTTGCCTCATCCTCTGGCTCGGTCTCTGCATTGAACGGACAAACTCCTCTTGAGGGAAGGCGGTAGTGCTTTGTTTTGTGCCAAAGTCTACGTGTTCGTTCAACCAGCTCCAGTCTGCTCCAGGAAATCTGTGCGCTTCCGCTGTGCCTGTCTGTCGCTCCTCACCTCCTGGCCCCGCTTTGCCTCCCGACTTTGCAGTGACTTCACACTGAGGGATAGCGACCTCCTGTGGCTGTTCTGAGTGGCCGTTGCGTTGGCTTTCGGACAACGGGTTTTCTTGGCAAAGTGACCACAGGCAAATATAATACTGAAACAAAATTAGGTTTGAAACAGCGCCTTTCAAGCTGGGAGGACGTCCCAAGGCGCTGGACGGTCAAGGGATTTGGACCCGAGCAGGCGGCGGGGGTGGGGAGTAAGGGAGGGCGGCTGAAGGCGCGATCGAAGAGGAGGGTCTTGAGATGTGCCTTGAAGAAGGCGAAGGAGGGAGCGAGGCAAAGGGAATGTGGGATGGAGTTTCAGAGGGTGATGTGTGTGTGTATATATATTATAAATAGATCCTGACCTCATCCTGAGAGGTGGGTTTTCAGAGGAAAGGGCGTGACGTAAAAATGCAAGGATTATTAATTCATTGTTAAATGGATAGAAGATTGGTCCCGGCCCCTCATTGTGCTGAAACAATGAGGAGATGGATGTGCTCAGCTCACGGCTTTGGGTTGAGTCACTCCTGGAATGTACCCGAACTGGGCCATCAGGCTCGGTGGACTTCTCTCGTAATCCTTCCGAGAAAGCTCCGCTCTTGCTCCGCTTCTGGGGACGGAAGGAACCCATTCCACCGGATTCAGTAAAAGTAATCCTTGCGATTTTGACATCGCACCTTTCACGTCAGGAGGACGTCTCGAATCGCTTCACAGGAAGGCTGTCCAGTGCCTTGGGACGTCCTCCTGACGTGAAAGGCGCTATCCAAATATAATTGTTTATCTTTGTAGGTGAACGGGGCAGCAGCCAATTTGCACAAAGCAACATTTCCCTCTCTTCCCCCCCCCACACACACACTTAAACAGCCACGAAGCAACTGATTTTATCTGGAGAATAGTAATAATAATAATAATCATCCTTGCATTTGATTAGGATGGGATAGAAGGAGAAACTCCCTTCTCTTTTCGCAGAGATCTTCAACGTTCGCCTGAACAGGGCACAGGACTGCATAGCTCTGCGTCCTAAGGACAGTGCCTTTGACATTGCAGCAGTGCACACACATCTCCCGCTTCCCTCCACCCCCCTCCCCACCCGCACTGCGCTGGAGCGTCAGCCAAGGTAACTGCAGTGAGCTGACCCACTGAGCCCATTTGAGGCCTTCTCCTCGTTCTCCTTCGAAACTTCCAGCACCTCGTCCTCATTTCTTTCTCCTCGAGTCTTAATATAAACCCTCGGCCCCTCCAGGTTATTTTTGATGATTTAGCTCAGCCTCTCGCTGGTCTATTTTCTATTCCCGCTGCGAATCTCTTCCTCCCCACTTCCCTTTTACAGCCGGCTGGGACGTGTTGATTTGCGAGACCCTGTCATTTCATTTCTCTTTTGCCGTTTGCAGCCCTTCATTTGAGATAATTATAAAGCCAAAACAAAATTGCCGTGCGGTCTAAACCCGAGTTTAATGTCTAATCCGAATGGGCGCCTCCTCTCGATAATACAGTGTTCCCCCCCCCCCCCCACCCCCAGCATTGGGTGAGTTCAAAGCCCCCCCCGTGGGGCTTGAGCCCACAATTTTCTGCCTCAGAACTGAGCTGAGAAGGTGAGCGATTGAGGCAGTGAGCGAATCAGGCAGTGTGAGCGATTGAGGCAGTGTGAGCGATTGAGGCAGTGAGAGCGATTGAGGCAGTGTGAGCGATTGAGGCAGTGAGCGATTGAGGCAGTGAGCGATTGAGGCAGTGAGCGATTGAGACATGTTGCCGACTGTGCTCTGTAACAAATAGCTGTTTATTATTTACAAGTGTTTCGCTGTGGACTCTGGTATTTGAATCGGCTTCTGTACAAAACGTAAACACCACAGAAAACAGGCGGAGCTGGTGAAGCGCCAGTGATCCCTTCTCTCCCTCAAACGCACCCGATTACCTCTCGCAAACTCTTCCCCTATTGAGTCAGTGGAAAATAATGGAGGCTTTGTTGGAGCCAATGGAGGTGTGTGTGTGTGTGTGTGTGTAAGCAAGAACATAGGAACAGGAATAGGCCATTCAGCCCCTCGAGCCTGTTAAGGACCCTGCAGTGTGCGTTGAGTGAGTGGAGGGGGCGGATGGGTGGGGGTGACTGCTGGAGCTTGCCATTGAGAGCACGGTTTGTCCAACCACGATTGTCAGAAAGTTAATAACAACAACAACAAATTACATTTGAATAGTGCCTTTCACGTCAGGAGGACGTCCCAATCGTATAAATGTTCTACAGCGATCCTCTCCAGTGCGTTGTGTTGCTGTCGTTCATCGTCGTGACATCAGTTGGCATTGGCATCAGGTTTGATGTGGACTATTTACAGTACAATAAAGCGACAACCTCACATCAGGTCTCCACCTTCATCTCACTTTAGGGCCTTCTCCTCCTCCCCGATTGTCCGCTGGGTTTGTCTAGATCTCCAGGGGGCTTTCGGGCTCCAGTTTGCGTGACAAAGCCGTCAGGATCTTGTCAAACTTCTCGTAGCGCTCTCCCCGGCCCAGCTCGGCTGCTTTGGGGCCCCAGAACAAGCGCAGGGCAAACTCCGTCCTGAAGGCTTCCAGGAGCTCTCGGTTTATCTGCATGTCTGTTTGGGACAAACACATCAAACGCAGCTGTTTTGTGGAGCTCTTTGCTTGGAATCTGTCTGCAATCCCCATCCAACTGAGGCCCCCCTGGTGGGTTTGGAAACCCCCTCCCACCCCGGTCACCACTCAAGCCATCAAGAGGCTGAACAGACACTAAACTCCCCCCACCCACCCCCTTTCGTTCATTTCACGCTCGAGAGAGCAAACATTCCTTGTTTGGGGGAGGTGCCGTGGAACACAAATCAGGATGCGAATAGACCGCTCCCCCCTCACATAACCTAAACAATCCATCTCAAACCCAACCCCCCCACCTCTCCCCGAAGGCATGTAATCCATTGACCTGGTTTGACCCTCATTTCCTGTGCTGTGTTTCCAGTGGCCTCCGTGTGGGGGGCTGCCTGATTATCTGGAACGACTCTTAAGAGAGAGTCACACACACACAAAGTTTGGGAGCTATACACAGAATATATTGACTGAAAATGGGAGATGTTATTAAAGAGTTTAAGCTGAACGCAGCTTGTGAACACAGCGGCGATGGGTGTTCCGATGAGAGACGGTTGATCATTCTGATACATGAACTGTTGCTTAAAAGTTGTCTCAAAGTGACGGTTAAGGTGTTTCAATGGCAGCTGCAACGTCAAAACGTCTCAAAGCGCTTCACAGGTCCCGTCATCAGTGTCAACATCATAAACTTGTATTTATGTAGCGCTCGTCACGTGGGGCAGCGTCTCGAATGTTTGTGTCGAGGACCAATTTAACTGGAGGATTGTCGGCTACGATACCAATAGGGTCGCAGGATCACAGAATCACACAGCACAGAAAGAGGCCATTCGGCCCAATGTGTCCGTGCCGGGTCTTTGAAAGAGCTGCCCAAATGAATCCCACTTCCCCGCACTCTCACTCCCCACATCCCCGTAGCTATGCACTTCCCTCTTGAAAGTTGTTATCGAATCTGCTTCCAACTCTCTTTCAGGCAACGCATTCCAGATCCGAACAACTCGCTGTGTGAGAAAATGTCTCCTCGACTTCCCTCTGGTTCCTTTGACGAGCCATTTGGATCAATTTGACAATTGCGTAATGACGATCTATCATTCGCTGCGTATAAACCATTTGCACAGAGGAAATTCTAAATGTTTAGTCGTGCAACGTACCAAGGAGAAGGGGTGTGAAATGACATGATTGATAAATTGCTTGTTAATTACCCAATTCAAAGGGCAGCTGCTTGTGATTTAGCACATGGGTTACAAATGGTGGGTTATAGCCCCACCTGGGGAGACCTACCTTTCAGTCTGGCCTCAGTGTTGACTCTGAACACATCGGTGTTCAGGGTTGTTGCCCGAGCGGCTTCCAGGGTTTTGAGAAGGATCTCGCAGCCCTGTTCCATGTTCTCCCAACCTTCCCATCCTTCCAGGTCGAAGACGGATTGGCGTTCCATGAGCATGATGATAGGTAGGATGTGTGGGACCGAGATATTCTGGAGAGAGAGGTCACCTGCTTTGGGGAAGATGGATAACTGTCACTTGGGAAACGAGGGCACAGGTTCAGAGCAATTTTAAGACCCAGATATTTCTTTCACAGAGGGTAATTATTGTGAATAATAATCCCTGCATTTCATGTCTTGAAGCACTACATGGGATTCTACTGTACCGTGTGGTGACTGTGTTTTGTTGGCAAACGCAGGAGTCGATTTTCACGCAGCAACAGCCCATAAGCAGTGAGTGACCAATTTTATCTGCGGGGGTTGTCGGTCGGGATACTGTGATATACTGTGGAATGCAGTGACTGTGTATTTTGTATTGGCGGCAACTAATTTGTACACAGCATTGTTCCGCAAACAGCCATGACGTGAACGATTTATTTCATGTTGGGCACTGTTGACAACAGCTTGTATTTAGGCAGCGCTCTTCACGTCCCGGAGCGCTTGACAGTAGTGGAGTCTGACCCTGAGCCAGGGGCAAAGGGAGGTGACCGTGAGCACGATCGAAAAGGAAGATCGTTACTTGGGATTCAAAAGTGGGGAGGGAGCGAGGCGGAGGGATTGAGGGACAGATTTCCAGAGCTTCAGGGTTTAGTGGCTGAAAGCACAGGTGATGGTGGAGCGAGGGATGAACAGGAGGCTGGAGCCAGCCAAGCGGAGGCAGCGGGTGGAGGTAAGCAAATCGGAGAGGGAGGGAGGTGCGATGGCATGAAGGGATTTCAAAACGACACCAAGAGACAATTGCCAGGAAGGTCGCATATATGTAAGCGACATATAGACGCTGTGATGGGCTGACTGCCGGGCGGGTGATCTGGAAGGATGAGATCAAACTATCTTGAAGGGCCTTCTCATTCCAAACCAGCCTTGTGATCTTGTGTGTTGGGCAAATAAATAAATGGACTTCCACTACTTATTACTGGATGTGCCCAGTCATCTTTCAAAGACCCGTTTCATCTCCAGGAAAAAAAAATGCTGATTTTCTGGTAATTATTCTGGGGTAAATAGTGGACCGGCAGGAAGATATTCAGTCCTTAAATATACAGCCTCAACTTGTTTGGTTATAATTTTGTATTGAAAAGGCTGATTCTGGAAGGGTGAGATCAGAGCATTCCCTGGCCTTGCGTTGTACTGTATTTGTAATAATCCTTGCATTTGATACAGCAGCGCCTTATCACGTCTTTGAGACGTCTCAAACAGCGCTTCACAGAGTATACTGTAAAGTGAATTGATTATATTTTGTGGGCAAAACGTGGCAGCCAATTGTGCACAGCAGCGTCACACAAACAGTCATGGATTGAGTTTTTAAAAAAAAGGAAAAGTGAACCACTAATCGACTAAGAACCGGGTTCCTACTTAAAACACAGGCATGCGTGAGGGGTGAGGAAACTTGCCCAACGTTTCGCTCTGCCAGGAATCAAACCCAGGTCCTCTTGCTTGTGAGGCGAGTACTCTACCCAATGAGCTACAGGACTCCCCATTTCTGTCCTCGAGGGGCTGATGGTCACGTGGATTAAAGCTCCTGTTCCCCCCTGTACTTACCATTGCCCTCATTCATGGATTTCATGAAAGGTTTCAGCTTCTTCTCAAAGGCGATGGCGCTGTCTGTGTGTGTGCGTCTCAATGTCCTCCATGTAAACTCCAAACGCGTGATCTGTCGGGAGAGCCGTGTGTAGTCGGTGAATAATAATCCCTGCATTTATAAAGCGCCTTATCACGTCTTTGAGACGTCTGGAAGCGCTTCACACGATACACTGTAAAGTGAATTGATTGTATATTTTGTGGGCGCCTTGGGACAAATGTAATTTTGTTGTTGTTGATACTTCGCCTCATTACGTCTTCGAGACAGTACACTGTGGGTGTAATGCGGCAGCCAATTGCACACAGTAGTGTCCCACAAACAGTTGTGGGTTCAGCGACCAATTTTTTTTCGAGGGGAGAGGAGGATTATTACTCCCTGGAGCAAGGAAACTTGTCTAATGTAGGTTTTGCTCCGCCCAGGAATTGAGACCATGTCCTGTCACTTGCAAGGTGAGTGCTCTAACCACTGAGCTACAGGACCCCACAGTGTACCCCGGGGGAGCGCTAGGGAGGAATGGGTAGAAGCAAATCCAAATCAGGGCCAATGTGGCACAATACGTCAGCCAGGTACCTGAGGCAACTCCAGAGCTTTCATCACGGCTGAAAAGCCATAGAGGTCCCCCATTGTGTCCTTGAGCTCGATAGCCAGCTGGATGATCTTGTGAAGCACGCTGGCCCTCTGCCCCACGCTGCCAGTACAGCCCAGGATATCCACGGCGATGCCCAAGGCTATCAGAGAATGCCTGTGGAGAGAGTGCAGCAGGCAGGGGAGGTAAGTTGCCAACAAGAAGTTGCATTTATGTAGCACCCTTTGCGCTGGGTAGCATCCAAGAGCGCTCAAAGTCACCTCGGGGGGCCAGAAGGTTTGCGGGTTTCGAGCCCTACAGCCCGGTTTGAGTTTCCAGTAATAAAATATGATCCATGCATTTAATAACAATAATAATAATAATCTTTGCATTTGATTGCCTTATCATGAGACGTCTCAAAGTGCTCCACGGGACATAGTGTAAAGTGAATTGTATATTTTGTGGATGAAATGCAGCAGCCAATTGCACACAACAGTGCCCACAAACAGTTGTGCGTTGAGTGATCATATTATTGTTGTTTAGTTTTTTTGAAGAAATTATAACCACCGGAAAAACAATCCGTTATTACCCCCCGGAAAGGCTTTGGATTTGATCCAAAGAATGAGAGCGCTGAGCCAAGCTGACGACCTGTATGGAGGGAGTGATACAGTACATTGTTGGAGCTGCTGTCCTTCATTCAGACCCCAAACCAAAGCCGTACGTTGGTCTGGAATCATAATCTATGTGAGTGGTGATTATTGTTGGTGTGTTTGCTCGATCACACGTAGATCTGGCTACCTCTCAAGTAGATCCATTCGCAGTTGGTGTCCATGGGACAATGTAATGAGCTCTAATCCCGAGTTCACTCCCATCATTCTCCTCTCCTCTGGAGATACCTCAGTGATCCGAGCAACCTGGAATAATAAAAATAATCCTTGCATTTGATATAGTGCTTTATCACGTCTTTAAGATATCTCAAAGCGCTTCACAGAATGTACTGTAAAGTGAATTGCATGTTGTGGGCGAAATGCGGCAGCCAATTGCGCACAGTGGTGTCCCACAAACAGATGAAACTCCCTTCTTTTCAAATACTGCTGCAGGATCTTTAAGGTCCACCTGAGCGGGAAGTCCTCCGGACGTGAAAGGCGCTGCGTAAATGTCATTTGTTGTTGTTGTCCGTACCTGACAATCCACTTTGAGAATGTGTCGTGCTGTGGTCTCGGGGTCGTGTTCAGCAAAGATCTCCTTGAGACGTTTGAGGACGGACGGCTCCAGAGCCTTGTTGTCGTGAGGGAGTAAAATGGAGTTGAAGGTGTCCAGCTTGAAGGCGGTGCCGGTCTCCACGTGTGGTCTTGTGAAGCCCTCCTCCTCAGCCCCTCGTTCCGGGGTGAGCTCCAAACTGAGGGGCTCCTCGGAATCCAGGAAGTGGATGTCCGTAGTCATTCGGGCTCTGACATTGGCCCGCTCCTGTGCGCACAGCCTGCCCACGTGGCTGTCTCCCAGACTGGAGTCCTGGCTGCTATGAGGGACCTGTGGTACCAGCTCGGAGTAGATGCCCAGGTCTGGCTCGGATGCAGGTTGCAGGCCTGGGTGTCTGCTCGTGTCTGAAGGGGCCCTTTGGGGTTTGGGAGGGGCTTTGGAGTGCAACTGCCCATCAGAGCCCCTCAAACCTGAGGTGCGCCTGGGATCTAAGTGCTTGAAGCTTCCTTTGGGGCTGATCATGGAGTCACTTCCCGTCCTGTACACTGGTGACTTGGGGAGGATCGCTCTTTCTGCCCCACTCGCCTGAACACGTTTTTTTGGTCCTGCAACAAAAGCCAATTCAGTTTACGCAAAGCCTTTTAATGGCGGGCAGCCATCTCAAAGCGTTCCACACTGCTGAACCGTGGGTGGGGGGAGGCGCAGAGGGAGGGGACAGATGCCTGAAATTGCGGTCAAAGAAATCTGCCTTGAGATGGGCGGGAGGGGAGGGAGTGGACACAGGAAGAAAGATTATCGTGGCAATTAATTTGCATTCAGCAAAAAATGCCAGTAGGGAGGACGCGCACACGCACGCGCACACACACACACACACACACATAAAACACCCACAGCTGCTTACAAAGGTGCTTTGCAGAACCAGAAATTAGCAATGAAGTGACTGCACACAGTGGCAGAATACAAGACTGGAGATTAAACTCACTGCCAGAGAGGTAACTGTCAGACTGGGCGGAGTGCAGTATCCTCTTGTTGTTTACATCATCCAGAATGTTTGGTTGGCTCCCGCTCTTGTACTGGTTCCTGTGTGTAAGCACCACAACGACAATCCCTATATTTCGTATTGCACCAAACGCCTCAAAAGCCATCGCCTCACAAGTTAATCAAGTGGAGTGACCAGGTGGCTTTTTTGTGAGTAAACACAGCAGCAAAGCCCCGTAAACAGCCACGGAGGGAATGACTGGTTTTATCTGCGGGATTGTTGGCCAAGGAGACAGAAACTCACTCATCAGTTCCTGATAGACTCTGTGTGCGAGATTGGCTGCTGCATTTCGCCATAAAATACAGTCACTTTACGGTACGTCCCGTGAAGCGCTTTGAAGTGTCCCAATGTCACGATATGTGAGGCGCTATATCAAATGCAAGGATTATTATTAAAAGTGCTGCTTGGGATCTTCAACATCCATCTGCACAGGTCGATGATAACAGCACATTTGATACTAACCCTAAGTGAATTGGCTGTATAAATTTTGTGGGCGAAGCGAGGCAGCCAATGGCACACAGCAGTGTATTGAATGACCAATATTTTTTTTTGAAGGAATTATTACCCCCAGAAAAGTGATCCGGCAATCGTCTAAGAACCGGGTTCCTAGGTAAACAGTCGCGCTTGTGTGTGGATTAAGGGGATTTGCCCAACGTTTCGCCCTGACTCGCCCGGGAATTGTACTCTCGCTTGCGAGGCGAGCGCTCTAACAAACACGGGGTAACCCATGCTTCACACTGTCGTGCGTACCTCAGAAGATTACTGTCTGCGTCGACCTGATCCAGTGACACTTCATCGGACAGATCCAAGCTAAACCTCTTGGTCTGGTTGGAGTCTTTCCCTGATGGCGGTTGATGAAGAGACTCAGTGTTGACTCCTATGCCGTGCTTCTCCTCGATGCACCTCAGGGGCAGTGTGCGGTTCAGCGGGTGGAAGACCACTGCCCCGGTGATCTTCGAAATGGGCCTGCGGTTCCCTACGTAGAAACGTACCAGGGCTGGCACATTGTCGAAGCTCTCCTGCTCAAACTGGTACAGGACCCGGGAGTAGGTCTCTCTGGGTCTCAGCACAATTCGGATGATCTTGAAGTGGAGCGGGGCGTCCTTCCAGCTGCAGGTCAGCACGTAATTGCCCGGGCTGGAGCGAGATCCCCTGATCAGGAAATCCCCATCTCGCTCCAACAACGCCTCAGCCTCCTGAAATGCCAAAGACAAGAGAGCATTAGGGGTGGAAATTCTGGTATTCCCAACCACATCCTGTTCCTTACTCATCGACGCCTGTAGTTATGGGATAGCAAATTACAACCCTTCCCCTTCCCTCCACATCCTGAGTCAGCATGGCTCAGTCAGTAGCGCTCTTACCTCAGAGTCAGAGGGTTGTGGGTTTAAGCACCCACGTCAGGGACTTTTGAGCTCAGTCTATGCTGATGCTCTAATGCAGGGAACGCGCTGTGTTGTTGGTGGATGTTAGCGCTCTGTGTTCAGGTGGTGGGTTGTGAGAATGTTGGGTTTGGATCTCACAAAGAAATTGGTTTTGTTTAATAGAATCCCCGAGCCCAATTCCACACCATCTTTTTGTGGAACACTGCTGTGCGCAATTGGCTGCCGTGTTTGCCCACAAAAACATACAGTCAAGTCAATTCACCCTACAATATATTCTGTGAAGTGCTTTGAGACATGATGAGATGCTGTATCAAATGCAAGTATTATTATTATCTTAAACTTTGAAACAAAATGCTTGACAGAGACTAAGAGGTGGAAATCTGGGCCTCGGAGATTAAGGAGCCTGACCGAAAGGATAGTGGAAGCAGATTCAATAATAATACTCAAAAAGAAAACTATTGGGTAAGAATGGGGGCGTGGGATGAGTTGGTAGCTTTTTCACAGAGCCGGCACAGACACGATGGGCCAAATGGTCTCTTTCTGTAGGATTGTATCCAGTGTAAAGGGAGACGGATGTCAGTGGTTTGACCTGGCGTGGGATGGGGCCGTGGTACCAAGCATGGCTGCGAAGATCATCAGTGTTCAGTTTTAGTTCCTCCTCCAGCTCTTTCTTCAGTGGATCTTTCGCTGAGGCCATTATGCAGTAGTCATTAGACATCTGAAAGGTGACAAAAAGAGCAGTCACATTTCCTGGCTCTGTAACTAGCTCCCACTCGTCCCCTTCACTCCCACTCGTCTCCTTCACTCCTCCTATTCTAGTCTATATTCTCTCCTCATTCCCTCCATCTCACCACGAGGGACCTTAGGTCCTAACTGAAAGGAGGGTTATTCTGGTCAGTCGAAGGTTTCTGATAACATTGCCAAATCCAATTTATGCGTTACACCATAATCCAGTGCAAACAGGATAGAGACAACTAGGGTGTGTAACCCTTCTGACCTGATTCATCTCCAGTCACTGGATGACTCATGTAAAGATCCCGCAATTCTGTTCACAAATAGAGTAGGGAGTTTCTCCGGCTGTCCTGGGTGATGGTTAAAGGTGAGTGTTGGTTTCAATATAGAGTTCTGTGGTGGTGTGGTTAGAGCACTCACCTCGCAAACGAGAGGATCCGGGTTTAATTCACAGGGGGATTGGGACAAAATATTAGGCAAGTTTTCTCACTCCGTGTGCACACAAATCTCAGTTTACCGAGCAGTAAGTAGGTCAATTGACAGATTGCTTTTCTGGGGATAATAATCCCCTCNAAAAAAATCTAAAAATAATAATAATTTGGTCACTCAATCCATGACTGTTTGTGGGACACTGCTGGGCACAATTGGCTACTGCCCGCGAAGCATACAGTTACTACACTTTACGGTATATCCTGTGAAGTGTTTTGAGACGTCTCGGGGATGTGATAGGGCGCTGTATCAAATGCAAGGCTTATTATTATTAATGGGGCTCTTGCTGGGCACAGAAACCAAAGGTGCTGAGCTTGACAATAACTATTTGCAAAGACACCGCAAAAAAACAAGTTATTTCCTTTGATCTGTGAGCATGTCAGGAGAGATGCCAACATAGTGCCACTTTGCTACTCTCTGTGGAATCTCTTTACCGGCTTTAGACTCTTTCCCCCCCACCACCCCCACCTCCAACTCTCTACCATCTCCCCTAACCCCAAGGTCACAACAGGGGCTCCTTTAAACCAGACAGCACGGAACAGGGCAAATCCTTAACTCGCAAAGACCGGAACATTTACTGATCAGATTTTCAATTTACCTGCTGAGATCTCTCAAACACTCCCACCGCCCCCCACACAAAAACACACATCTTGTTCAGTAACACAGCACTGCACCTCAGGTCTAACGTCCGTGTCTTGTTAAAATAAAAATGACAGTCTCCAGCGACGGCAGCCCGAGAGCATTATTACTAGTTTGCACAAGTTTGGCACAGGCTTTCGTCACTGTAACAAGAAGGGCAGCTCACCACAGCATTCCAAGCATTTTTTTGTCACGTCTCACTTTTTAGAAAGGAGCGCTCAGAGCCTGGCAAAACCCTGGTCGTCAGTGCCTTTGAAGAGCAGGACTTACCTTTCAAACTCATTGCTGTTCAATGCCCCCTTTTATGCTGCTTGCGTATCCACTTCCACACGGCGAGTGTTCCTCGCTCTGCTCCCCTGCCGAGGCTCGCCCAGAGGTGCTACGCTGCACCTCTGGCCGAAACCATCTCCTGTGAAGGTAGAGAGAGAATCGTAAGCGGGTGGACGTTGACACCGGGGTTGTGTCGAATGCAATCTTGTTCATGGTTTCGTTGTCGTGTTTCCCCGTTTCCGTTGCGCTGATTACCAAATGGGGCTGGCGATCGGGATTCTGCGTTACTGCTCATTTCCACGTTGTACCTGTGCATTTACCTGCACAGCCCCGCTGCCTGTCATCCCCTTCGTAAAGTGGAAGATCCCAGGGCATTGCTACACCCATTATTGCACAAAACAGACCGTAGACAGTAAACCTCTCCCAACTCGGTGCTTGTTAGGGTTGGGACAGCTGTTATGTACACAGTCTGACTGGCAGGTGTGTTGTGGGTAATAATGAGGGCCATATAATAATAATAATCTTTGCATTTGATATAGCGCCTTATCTTTGAGTCTCAAAATGCTTCACAGGACACGCTGTAAAGTGCAGTGACTGTATTTTGTGGGCGAAACGCGGCAGCCAAGTGCGCGCGGCAGTGTCCCACAAACGGTCGTGGATTGAGTGACGATTATTATATTTTTAAAAAAATTTGGAGTGATTATTGCCCCCTGGAAAGCGATCCGCCCATTGCCTAACAACTGTGTTCCTACCCCCATCTAGGTAAATAGAGGCAGATGTCGAGTAACGAAACTTGCCTAAGGTTTCAGCCCCTTCTGAGGTCATATAAAATATCAGGTGAATCTCTTCACCTTCTCCCCCACCACCCCAACTCCTCCGATTTGGCTGTCAGCCTGCCTCCTTTCCCTATGGCTCAGACAGTTGCAGGTTCTGTCCCTAATGTTGGGATTTTCAGTTCACAGACCAGGCTGTGACACTGTAGAAGTATGGGAGGCAGTGTTTCACTGTCAAGAGGAGCCAGCAATTGAATAAGATTGTTATCAGGGCTCCATTTTTCCTGTTCAGGTAAAGATCACAGCATATCCGGTCTCTATTGCCCTTACCTTTAGATGTTAAACCACAATGGGTGACACCCGTCCCGATTAAATGTCCAGACGTACGTTCCTTTCTCACTGCAACCCAGGCTGTCTTACCTTCTCTCAATGCTGCATATAACACTCTTGAGATCATCCAGAGGCCTGAGAGAAGAATTTGGTGACGTCAGGTCACAACACTGGCCCCTCGTGCCCCACCTTTTCCTGAACACCCTGGAGCTACTCTAGGAATGATCTGATTAACAAAAACAACATTGCCCCTTGTGAGAAAAGGTTTGCGTGCCTCCAAACCTGAACGGATGCCTATTCATAGCCACCGCATTTGCCTACAAATACCCAGTCACCACGTGTGACAGAAATTACCTTTAGAAGCGCTTTGAGGTGCTTCGCCATCAAAGGCTGTACCAAACGGGAGAATTATTATCTCGCAGGAAAAGTCGCCACCTTCAGGAAGTGGAGAAAAATTAGGAGCCTTTTTGAGCTGAAATCCCCAGTTGGAGGCATTATTTCATTTGTTGTTCATTTGCCTAAGAAAAACAGTCGCTTTGAAATGCCCGCTTTGGTATGTGAAAGGCAAATTGACAGCAAGTTATTATTATATGCAACACATCTGCAATTATGACCAGGAGAAGCATAAATTATAATATTAATAATACTTGTATTGATATAGCACCTTATCATGTCTTTGAGCCGTCTCAAAGCATTTCACAGGATACTCTGTAAAGTGAAATGACTGTATATTTTGTGGGTAAAACCTTTGTATTTGATATATAAAACATCACTGAAGTTACTGTTTGCTCTACAATGATCACGACTATTTGAAATACAGTAGAGAAAAAACAAATTGTACAACAGCACATTCCAAGGTTGAAAATGCCTTTGCCTTGAGAGATGCCTGGGCATGTTACTATTGACAACTGTCTCTGGTGCCCAGCCAGTATAGTATGGCTAAGCCCCTTGGGAACCTCCTCTCAGCATGAAAGACACTGTATAAATGTAAATTTCTGTTGTGTTTCTATAGCCCTGATATCTGTTAAAGCTCTTCAGAAGTAATTACTGTCGAGGGAAGTGACTTAATTTTGGAGGCAAACACGGCCGCCAGCAAATTTGCCCACAGCCTATTCTATGAAGCGCTTTGAGATGTCTTGAAGACATGGTAAGGCACTGAGTCAAATGCAAGAATGATTATCATCATCACAGGCGAATGCCGCTGCTGACGGCTCGTCAGGATAGATGCGAAAAAAAACTCATCCTCCAAATTTCCACTTATCCTCCACGTTGCTGTTGATCTGCGGTTGGAAGTGGTCCACTCGATTGCTAGGGAATTGGAGGCTGTTTTGGAGTTGCACTTAGGTGACTGCGTGTTTCAACAACTTCACCCTGCATACCTTTCATAATCGTCTCTGTGGCATTCTCCAAAAATAACTAGTTTAGAAGCTGAACGACCTGCAAGTCCGAACTAGGAGGGAACGAGCTAGCCTTGTGGATCTTTTTTTTCCCCCCCGTCAAAGTCTCCCAATACCTGGTTGGAACGAATATGCTGCTCTCGATACTGGGCTGTGTGGACCAGAAGGCTCACTGTTACCCTGGGCGTTGGGAAAGTTCACCAAAAGGTTAAATCTTTGCATTGAAAAAAAAATGAAATAGTGAAAATTAAAAGAGTAGCACAAAGGGAGTATGAAAGAAAAGGAGAGAGAGCGGCTGGTAAGATTATACAGATACAGTATTTAAAATGTTTGATTTTTGCTTCTATTTATTAGGGTGAATATTACAGCGACTTAATCTCCTGCAGATATTTTTTTTCCAGAACTGTAGAAAAAACAGCTTTTTTAAAAAAAAAATTGAATTGACTGTATATTTTGTTTCACCCACAAAATATACAGTCAATCCACCTCGAGGTATATTCTGTGAAGCGCTTTGAGACAGCTCAACGATGTGATAAAGTGCTACATTGACTGCAAGGATTATTATTATTCTAATGTCAGAATTTAAGATTTCTTCTTAACATTTAAGGCCTCTTCATTTGTGCTAAATTCCTTTCGGGAAGACTAGTAAGTAATGAAGGAGAGGTGGGGGAAGGCAAATTGTAATTTTATAGCTCAGCAGCTGTTTCTGTAAGTGAACATGCCAGCTATCTGCACTGGCATAAATGGCTGTATGGTGAAGGGCCAGTTCATTTCGAGGCTCGTTGGCCGGGACAACAACAAATAACATTTGTATTGCGCCTTTCAGATTGGGAGGACGTCCCAAGTTGCTGAGAAACATGGGAGAAATTCTCTCTTCTTCCCCCAACGCTCAACCGCCCCTCCCTGATCACACTGAGATATCCCGAGGTTATACAGGCACTGTGTCAAACCAAGGGTTAGTTATTTGCCTGGAAATGCAATTTGTTGCTGTGGCTTATTTGTGAGGCTGAAACTTTTGACCGTTGCTTTGAGGCCTCATCTTGCTTCAACGGCAATGGTGGTTGGCCGCAAATTCCCCACGAAGCGTGCTTGGGAGACATTTCGAAGTTACAAAGAGCCATATACCAAAAGCAAAAGAATCATTTATTATAGAGAATGTCTACGGTTATGGCTTTGGTGGTTCTCATTTCCCAGGCCTGCTCACCCCCCACTTGGAGTGATGATTTTGTTGTTATTTATTGTATTATTGTTATATAATTTTATGTGTGTGTGTGTATATATATATATACATATATGTATATATATGTATGTATATAGTGCCTCCGCTAGACTGGCACTGGCCTCCTGCTTGTCCCTTGCAACCTCCACTCCGCCCTTTCAACCACGACTCCCCCAAAGCTTTGGCACACTTTCCCTCGATCCCTCAGCCTTGCCCCCTCTCGTCTCCCCCCACCGGCTCAGAGTCGGTATCCGCCATTGTTAAGCGCCCCGAGATGTATCGCGCCCTCCACGCGGGGCAGCAAGTGCAAGGTGTTGCTTTTATTACTGCTGTCGCTTTTATTTTATTATCGTTATGTTGTATAATTGTTCTTATCACTGCTGTCGCTTTTATTTTATTGTTGCTATTTTCTTATTTTATTTTTACAATTTTATCAATTTTTTTTTACTACAGCAAACTGCTGATAACAACTCCTGATTAACTGATCACTACCCCTTAAGTCATCAAGCTGTCAGTATCCCGGCCGCATTGATTTATAAACAATAATAACCCTTGCATTTGATATGGCGCCTTATCACGTCGTTGCGATGTCTCAAAGCGCTTCACAGGATATACTGTCATTGACTGTGTGTTTTGTGGGCGGAAGCGTATTTGCCAAACTCGCCACTGCTGACAACTCATCACTGAGCCCTTTTCCGTCGGAGCGACGGTGGTCACACTCCGCCACTGTCCAGCGCTCTTGGACGCGCTGTGTGTGTATGTGGGCGTGTCTGTGCGTATGTGTGTGTATATATATCTGTGTTGCGCGTATATCTGGGTGGAAGTTGTGTTGGTGTGGCTCACGTCTTGGTCGGGGGTCTCTCTCTCTCTCCTTTCCGCTGGAGTCTCTCATTCTCTCTCTCTCTCTCCCCCTCTGCTGGAGTCTCTCTCTCTCTCGCCACTGGAGTCTCTTTCTCTCTCCGCTCTGGAGTCTCTCTCTCTCTCCGCTCTGGAGTCTCTGGCTCTCTCTCTCTCTCTCCGCTCTGGAGTCTCTCTTTCTCTCCGCTCTGGAGTCTCTCTCTCTCTCCGCTCTGGAGTCTCTGGCTCTCTCTCTCTCTCTCCGCTCTGGAGTCTCTCTTTCTCTCCGCTCTGGAGTCTCTCTCTCTCTCCGCTCTGGAGTCTCTCTCTCTCTCCGCTCTGGAGTCTCTCTCTCTCTCCGCTCTGGAGTCTCTCTCTCTCTCCGCTCTGGAGTCTCTCTCTCTCTCCGCTCTGGAGTCTCTCGCTCTCTCTCTCTCTCTCTCCGCTCTGGAGTCTCTCGCTCTCTCTCTCTCTCTCCGCTCTGGAGTCTCTCGCTCTCTCTCTCTCTCTCTCCGCTCTGGAGTCTCTCGCTCTCTCTCTCTCTCTCCGCTCTGGAGTCTCTCGCTCTCTCTCTCTCTCTCCGCTCTGGAGTCTCTCGCTCTCTCTCTCCGCTCTGGAGTCTCTCTCACACACACACACACACAGTCTCTCTCTCTCCCTCTGCTGGGAGTCTCAGGCGACGCTTTCCCTGCGCGAGCGGCGCCGCCACTCGACACACAGGGCCTCGTCCCCTCTTCGAGCCGTCTCAAAAGCGCTTCGCAGGCTCCGCCGTCAAGTGGAGTGACTGTATATTTTGCGGGCGGAAGGGCGGGGTGTTCGTCGCTCTCTGGCCTTCCGCTGGGAGTCGCTCTCTCTCTCTGCTATCTCTGCTGGTGTCTCTCTCTCTCCCTCTGCTATGTCTCTGCTGGTCTGTCTCTCTCTCCTATGTCTCTGCTGGTCTGTCTGTCTGTCTGTCTCTCTCTCTCTGCTATGTCTCTGCTGGTCTGTCTGTCTCTCTCTCTCTCTCTCTCTCTCTGCAATGTCTCTGCTGGTCTGTCTGTCTCTCTCCCTCTCTCTCTGCTATGTCTCTGCTGGTGTCTGTCTCTCTCTCCCTCTGCTATGTCTCTGCTGGTGTCTGTCTCTCTCTCCCTCTGCTATGTCTCTGCTGGTCTGTCTGTCTCTCTCTCTCTCTCTGCTATGTCTCTGCTGGTCTGTCTGTCTCTCTCTCTCTGCTATGTCTCTGCTGGTCTGTCTCTCTCTCTGCTATGTCTCTGCTGGTCTGTCTGTCTCTCTCTCTGTCTCTGCTGGTCTGTCTGTCTCTCTCTCTCTCCCTCTGCTATGTCTCTGCTGGTGTCTCTCTCTCTGCTATGTCTCTGCTGGTGTCTCTCTCCCTCTTCCCCCCATCTCTTGGCCGCCATTTTGAAGCCGCGCCAACCGTCACTCGGCACAGCGCGCGCGCGCGCGGCTGGTTTGAAAAGCGGCGCGCGGCGCGCGGGGGGGGGCGGGGCGGGGGGCGGTCACCATAGCAACGGCCCCTCCGGGGAACCCCCGTGGCCAAGAGGGAGAGGAGGGAGAAGCAGCGCCTCCACGCGGCTGAGAGCAGGTCATGGCGGGGAGAGGAGAGGAGGGAGGGAGGGAGGGAGGGGAGAGGGAGGGGGGAATGAGGGAGAACTGTTCGTGTTCTCCCTCAGACACACACACACACACACACAGTTGAAACGCCACACGCACTGCCCCCACCCCCCCGCGCCCCCCCCCCCCCCCCGCCCGAAGAGTTCGGTCTGTCAGGCAGGAGGTTAAACATGTCAGCGAGTGGGGTGGGTGGGTGGGGGGGGGGGAGAGAGAGAGAGGCCTTTCTTTTCCTTCCCTTCCTTCCCCCGACCGG